TATTATTTATTATTATATTAGCTATACTAATCATTACATTATCATTTTGTATCATCGCCTCCAATCGCAGAATCTTCGCCCTGGAGTGAGATCCCTGGGTTGCATGGAATGTGCTTTGAAAGCCTAGAACTTCTACTGGGACTTCTGCCCTCTGATCCTTGGAAATTGGAATCCCAAGGAAACTCAGGTAGCACCTATCCAAAACTCCGACAGGAGGAAACGATGCTTCTGCACGTCGGATCCCGGCTCGGAGCTTGACCTGCGTGCGGTTCTGATAGTTTCGACTTATTCTCTACGACTCATCCCAGCCCTCCCTGGCAGCGGCAGGCTATCAGCGTGCGTGAGCAGCGCGACGTTTTTCCGGGCTGGTACGAGGCCCAAAATCTGTAGATTTGAAGGGGACCGACTCGGAGGGCTCGCGAGCCTGCTCACAAAAACCAGTGCTGGAAAGCACTATGAATCTGTAGAGCCATCTAGATCAGTCGGCATATTTCCGGGGGTTCCTCGTTTCCCCGAGATCTGGGACCGGGACGATTTCCGAGACGAGCTTCCGACATGAAACAGTGATCCGGCGCGTTTACGAGCACGCGAATGATCAATCTCATGTGAGCCTTCGCGGTTATGCGTTTAAGTTTTCACTTGTCCGAGCTGCCGAGTTTCTGTTCCGGGCTCCGTTGCCGTATGATGGCTGAAAGGGGCCGAATCGAGATGGCACAACAAAAGGAAAATATGTGCACGGGGAGTCAGCAATCCTATTGAGGATTCTTCCAGGCCTTTGTCCCTCCGCAGATAGCGGAGACGACCGTAGCTACAGCGAAAGCTCACCGCTGCTGCTTTTATGCGTCGGGGAGTAGGGAGACAGTCAGAGAAGCTCAGATAGCACGGCTCACGAGCCGTCTATGGAATGTTCATTTTTTCGTCGAATACCTGTCGAGATCCACCTTGTGGTCGGAGTCTCCGGCTCCTCCCGACGGGTCGGTCAATGCGCTCGGGGATGATAATTTCTCGCAGTGATGACTCAGAAGGCAGCGTCCGAAACCTGTGGACGTGGAGCAAGAGCGATGCAGGGCGGGAAATACCTCGCGAATCCTGGTTCGGACTCGGGACGAGCTAGGAACGCAATTGCCCCCATGAGAGCGATTAATTTCTTTGCGAGGAGAGGCTCGCGAAATCATCCGAGCTGTAGGATGAGAAATCGGTGGGTTCGCATGATAATCTTTCACAATATCGAAGGGCTCCGAAGATGATGTTGCTTTGGAGGTCTCTGTCCACGACGTTCAACGTGAGTTCACTTCCCGCATCCAAGAGATTTCTCTTCCATCAGATTAATAAAATATTCGGTCGCATTAAATTGTAAAGCCTGACGTGCGACGCGGTCGGAATCGGCCCTCTTTCTTTCGCCTCGAGGCGGTGTGCTTCCTTTTTCTCCGCCTCTTCCGCGTAGGGGCCTCGACGAGACCGTCCCTGTTAAGGAGGGGGGCTCCCATCCGACAATGGAGGGCTCTGGCTGGAGCCGCTAACTTGGGGAACGGAGCTCCGTGTTTCATATTAGATTCCGAGGGACACGACTTGATGATCCCTTTCTGAAGCTGCAGGGATGAGAGGAGGCGGTCGCGAAGCACCCTCATCCTTCAAACATTTATTTTTTCTCTGTGCGCCCTCCGCAGACTGCTCCCGAGGACGCAGCAATGATGATCCTCACACCGAGTCGCATTAATTCCTAAACATCTGGAGACCGAAGGGAGTCGGGTATTAAAGAGATGTCCAGACTCTGGGAAGTCACACGACAGGCCTGGAGACGGGATGAACGCCGAAGGTGTTCCAGATGAGAGACGCTCAACTCGACTCCATGAGGTGAAAGCAAGTTGATTGCATACTGATTAGCGCTTTTCCAAACTGATGAACACATCCCGGCCACCAAACTACCGTCGAGTCCACTAAGCGGCTTCGCTCCTGGCGCCGACTCCTCGAGATCCTTTGGTGAGCTGCGCACGCTACAATGAGCGAACGGATAGAATTCGGAAGAGACTCCCTGAATTTTCCCCCAGAGCTCCCCCGTGAATGATTGATTTAATCTGCTCCTACGAGATATTCGATCACTACCGGCAACCGGAGGCTCTCAGAGCGTTGTCGGCACAATCCGAGAGAACACAGGCACGTACCCTATTGAAAAGGAAGTTCTGCACACCGAACGCAGGGAAAGCACTCCTTGTTTCCAACCGGAGACGACTGGAAAGATGGAGGAGGGAGGAGGGTATTCTCCGGGTCAGGCTGCGTTGAAACCTGCTGTTTACTCGCTTCTTACTCGGCTCACCGACCGACGGCTCCGAGCGACCGAGGGCTTGCGGTCGGAACCAGGGGAAAATAGGCTATTTTTTCGCTCCGAGTCTCTGATGATAATCCTTCTTCTGAAGGATAGACGTGAGCTGAATCAAGTCGGGTTTGCATTGCAGCACAGCCCCGTCTTAGTCCCGAACAGCTCTTGTCCTCGCTCGCTTGCCACGCCGGCAATAGGATCCTTACATTGTCGTCGCCGCGCCTCTGCTGCGACTACTTCTCCCGTTCGGAGATTGAAGAACGGCGGAGCCCCGCGGGGGGCACTCGTCGGATTCGTTTACTCGTCGGTGAACTCACCACGTCCTGAATCACGAATCAAGCATTCGGGATCATCCCTCGAAACGGAGAATTGTCCTCCCTCACTTATTATACAGGTGATAAAGTGAATGCATAAGAGATTCCATTTTGCGAGAAATGCTTCCCTCCTCGGATCATAGATCCTCAGACCGATTCCTGATATCCCTTGACAATGGATACTATGCTGAGATTCCGTCTGAGATCGCCGGAGGCTATCTATGAAATATTGCGGAGCCTGTGGCTAGACTCCAAATGGCTGAGAGGATTCTCTCGAGAGGCAAGTCGCTGTGAGTATACCCTTCGAGGGCTGCAGTCTTCCAGCACTAGAATCTAACCTTTGAGGAGCAGCGAAACGTGGGAGAATTAGGTTTCATACTCTGCACCATTTATTACACCAGCCCGCGGGAGCAATAAATTCCATCGATTGCGCGGCCACCAACAATGGCGATGAACGAGCTCGGATAAAATTCAGGGTTCTCGAAAGCGTTCTAGGCAGATACATCGAATACGTATCGTCGCCGAGGCTCATCATCCCGGTCTGGGGATCGATGAGTCCTCATCAATGATTGTGACAAGGTTATCATGTTTACCTCCACTCTCTCATCTGACCTGTAATTGTCAAACGCAATGCGTGCTACTTTCGCGAGTGCCTACTGCGAGAAGTTGGAGCTTCATAGGGAAATTCTGCGAAGCCGCAAAGGCTCCTCGAAACTCAAAACGTATCGGAGAGTAGCCGCCCGTTAACGGAGGGTAGGGGTAGCAGGGAACTAACGAGCAACGGGATGGGCGCTGAGGATCGGCTCGGGGCCAGTGAGGATCGAGAAGGTTGCCAGATAAAATCATAAATCGAAGAGACGCGGCGGTGAGAGAACCGAAGGAGGAAACCATCAATGTTTGCCGCGGGCGTCAGTCACTGCACGCTTCTCAGCCTGAATACGGTGTCCAGGAGCGATATCACCCTCCTAGAGTCCCCGGGGAGCGGTCCGTCTTCTTAATGTCACCTTCCTGGAACCTGTCCGTGCTCGTTTCAGAAAAGTGAAGGATGTGTTCCAGTCAGATGGATACAATCGACAGTTGATCTCCACGTCATCCGAAACTTCTGAGTGAGCGAGGTCACTTGCTCGTGGAACGATTCCGTGCCACTAGGGACGGGAAAAATATGCGTGGATAGACTCGAAATAAGCATGCACAAATAGCGTGCACAAATAGTCGCAAAAAATAGCGAAAACTAACTCCGAAATATGCACAGAGAGACATAAACAAGGCACGAGAAATTGAAGATAAGGTCATTCGACTCAGACGCGGATTTCACGCCGTGACGGCGTGTCTTTTCGGAGCCGAAAAATTTCGGCTGACGCAGGAGATGGACTTGCACAGGAAGTGATTACTCTACTAGAAGGACTTCCGAGACTAGAGGGACGATATCTGAGAGGAGGAGGACTTTGAACTTATTCTTCGACTCTTTTTTCATAACTCGAGGACGGCAAACACAAATGAAGCCGGTGTTGCCGTTCTTGATAAGTGTTTCCGAACCTTCGAGGAAGTGTTCCATACTCCACGGGGAGAGGTCTAATTTTCTCTTTAAGATCTTCAATGGGTTCTGTTGAATTTTTGAGCGAGAAGACGTTTCCCTCGGGAACAGACTGAGATACGCTACACGCTTCAATAAAATGCTTTGGAATGGGGCAAGGGCAGCAGATCGAGTTGTCGGCTCGCGGTCTCCGAACATTGAAGTGAATTTCATCACCACTCGTTGGCTTTTTCAATTTGCAAACGAAGAGATAAGATTTGGGTGTAACGCCTGATGGGAAACTTCCCTTGAGCCGCAGAGGAAAAAGTGGATATGTGGAGATATGTTATCGCACCCGAAAGCCTGAGATCGAGAGGATTTCCCGGACTAGCTGAAGAACGCCCGGAATGGATAAATGGAAGAATCTATGTACTCACTCGCTTTGTTTATTCCAGCTCCCAGGGCCGTGCTTCGTTGTTCTCGACGTCGACTTCCGACTTCCGATGCCACGCCGATAAGTTCATTTTCAACAGAGACAGATGAGATTGCTCTGTTTGTCTTCCGTAGATCCGAGGAGAGTGCTACCGCCAACTCAAGCGCGCTCTCGGCCGGTAGAAAGCGAGCCCGGTCGATAATTCGGTCCATCAATCATTCAATCGATTTCCCCCTTTCGTGAAGCATATTCGGACTGACAGAGGAGGAGAGATCGGAAATGCACGTGCAATGGCTCCGACCATTTTCCTTATTGGTGATTAAGTGCAACCGGATCCGGCAATGGAAATGGTTTTTCGGGAACTTACTGTTCTGCTTCGCCATTTTCCTATTCCTCTGCTGGATGCGATCCATATTGCCACACATGGCGATCCCCAACGTTTTCTTCGATCCCATTGACGTCACCGACAGCTCATTGACTCCGGTGAGTTGACTGATGTCACACGCTGGATATTGATCATTCTGGCCAATCAGTGAAAGAGCCTGGATTTGTCCGCGTATGTGTGCGCAGATACGCTCACTCAGTCAGTGGAACGAGGCTGACTGAGAGACGGAGGGGGGATGCGTGATCAGGACCATTGAGAGAATCAACCTCGCTCGACTCGGGGGGAGCGGAAACCTTAACGATCGAGCCAAAGAGCTCTATGAGTCCCGATGGCTTAATTGTCAAGCTCGAATCAGGAACCCGCGAATAAGGACCTGAGTCGCAACCTACTCTGGTGATAACACGGAATGGAATATATTCCCACAGTTCAAACATTCGATATACCCCGGAGGCGTTTCCTACAACTTCGAAGTCATAACGAATCTGGAACCTCCGAGCGTTCGCTCAGGACTGAATTTTGAAGATTTCGGCTTCGATCTCGCCAGCCTGAATCGTACGCTCCACAGAGCCTTAGAAGTGAGTTCCCGGAGCGAATACCCTCCCGAAACCCCTCTTTCGTTAATGATCTGCCCTGGAATCTCGAAAAGCGGCCTTCTGAGGAGATTACCTCTCAGTTCTATACAACAACACACAGATTTGCCGATGATCTCCGAATCTTCTAATCTTTCCAAATTCTGTCGAGTAGCTTTCAATCTCGAAATATTTCATCGCCCACGATTTTCAAGAATTACAGTGTGCGTTTCGCAACCGATGAGTTGCCAGTAGACTATCGTATCCGACTCACTCGAATAGAAGGAACGCCCCAGGTTTCGTTGGCGGGAGTATTCTCGAAGAAGATCGATTCTCCGTTCTTGTTCGAAGAAATGTGAGTTAGCTCAGGCCAGCCCATCTCTGGGAGATATTCACGCAACTGCCTCCCTTGTGAGCGCGGACGTTCTTCTGTTTCTAGGCTCACTTTCTGGGAGAGGATATCCACGAGCCCCTCATTCATCCAGGACGGTTTCGTCTACCTCCAGAGGATCCTCGCACCTGTGCTTGCAAACCATAGCGAGCCTCTACCGACGATTATGATCAAATTAGATGATCTCGGGGCGAGGACTCTAGATCCATTCGAAGAGGTAACTGCTTCGGAATGGCCGAGTTACATGGGAGACTGATCCCCTCTAACGAAGAATAATCAAGCGAAGGTCATCATCGCTTGCTGTATGCCGAATCTCCAGAGGAATTTCTCGCGTTTTCCGCAGGTCTACCGAACACTGCTGCCATTCATCTTCCTCGCGGTATTCAGCTTCTGTGTGCTCAGAGTTCTGCACCATTCTATGGGTGAACGGATATCAAAGCGAGAACTGGCCCTGAAGGTGTATGGGGTACCTGTTTTCCTGAACTCATCCGCGTGGACCACGGTGCTCCTTCTTGAGGTGAAAATAGAGCAATTCTTCGACATTCGAAGATGCCTGCCAACAGATGGTTCTTCGCTCGAGGCAATTCGAATCCTAACGTCCTCTATGTTTCCGTCGAGGTGGTGTCAGTCGTACTGTGGGTTACCTTCCTCTTCGCCATGTCCGGTTCTCTTCTCGCTCACGGCATTTTCCCGGATGACATGGACAGAACGAAATTTCTCTGTTTGTTGTTGCTTTTCTCGATTCAACACTCCACTCTCGGCATCTGTTGCATGACCATTTTCCGTGAGTTTGCCCTCCTTGAGTAGGCGGTATGCCTGTTCACGGTAAGGGACGCCGCCAGATGATGGATCTCATACGGACTGCGAAATCGATGAGATCATTCCCCCTTTCGCAGGTCACCGGGCCCCATACGTGTTTTTCGGCGCCGCTGCGATCGAATTCGTTCACTATACGATGAGCGATAGACGATTCTACGCTCGTTGTACCTCGGGTAGCACAAACGTCCAACTCTGGTATCCGGGTTTGACGGCACTGGCATTTGGCTTCAAGTTCAGCCTCCGGAAAAACCTCCCGATTATCGCAGGTCAGTACTCAGAACCCCTCGACACCACCCATTGTCCGCCAGGTGCGCCACCGACTCTCACGGGCTGTAATTCTTCATTACAGATCGTCTGGGACTAATGGCTTGTGCCGGACGAGGACAACAGGACACGCTCAACTACACGGCGATGATGTATGTTCAAGTTGTCTGGATACTGATTTTTATGACCATCGCAACAATCGGCAGCCATTGGCGATCCGAGGACGATACCTTCAGAACGAGACTCGACATGAACAAGTCAACATCGCAGTTCCTTTGGTTGCTCAAAATATTCTCGAGCAAATCTCTCCCCTCCTTGAGTCGAGTTGGAGTACCTTTGATCCAGGACCTCCCGGAAAGTACGCGCTCCTTGTCATGCTCAGCGTGAATTGACTTCGTACAAAGAATATTCTCCTTGAACCTTAGAAGAATGAGCTAGCCGGCACAAAGTTGCTTACGGACGAGATCCCTACAGACAATCGCGACCCGATAACACTCGATGCACCTTCTTACAGAGTCGAAGCTAGCTTTAGTGATGAAAGACGTCTCGTATGCGAATTCAGAAGGTTCAGTGGTCTTGGACCAGTTTACTCTGGTCGTGCCTCGAGGCCAGATAGTGTCTGTGGTTGGCGAAGTTCAGGATGTCGGGGAATACTTGATAGCGATTTTGGCCGGGATCTGTCGCACGAACGGCGGCGTGGTTTCAAGTTTCCGATGCAAGTTAGACCAAAGAGCGATTGGACTATGTCCTGTGGACTTCTTCCTATTCGATGAAATGACACTCCTCGATAATGCGCATCTGTTCCTCAGCTACCGGACCACTCAGGGTGAGGAGTCAAATCCCAATTCAAGCGGTCAGCATCGAATTAAGAGAGGAAAAAATCCCACTACCCCTCACCGACTTGCTTCTTGCAGATGTGACCTCACAGTTCTCCTATCTTCTATTGGAGCTCGGTGTCACGGCTGTGGTGGACGACTTCTTCATGGCTCTGTCCAGATCGGATAAGCGCAAAGTTTGTATCGTCGTGGCGTTGATGGCGGCGATGGATGTCATTGTTTTGGAAGAACCGACGAGAGACCTCACGCTGGAGGACACGAATAAGGTGAATCGGGAAAGACGATGTTCCTGTCAGTGGTGGATGCCTCTGCACCTCGGATTGGAGAATTTTGAAACCAACATTTATTCCGAAACAGTTGGCGGTGCTCCTCCATCGAGAACAGAGGAATAGATCCGTGCTGATAATAACCAGTGATTCACGGTTCGCCGAAATGATTTCTGAACGCATCAACATCTGTCTGAGGGGGCAAGTGGTCTACAGTGGCTCTGTGACGGCGGTCGCGAAGTTCCTCGGTAACTATCATGTTTCCTCTGAGATATTCGACTCGATTTCCGTTATTCCCTGAGGACGATGCATCACAACAGATTGTCGCCCCAATGAGGAAGTCCCTGGTAAAATATTTCTGCGAGGCAGCGATTGGAAAACCACGAGGAATGATCCGAAGTTGGATTCGTAGTTGAGATTCTCACTGTTTCTTCCTTCGTGTCTGTCCGCCAGGCTTGTCCCCAAGCATAATCATCCACCTCAAACTGCCTGCATCGAGTGACTTGCGGTACTCCAACGACCCGTCGACGAAAATCAAGAGAGCGAGTTTGGCCAACTTCAGTTTGTTGAAAATCTTGAGAGTCATTAGCGAATTCCACGATGGCGTCCGACCCCTGCAAGTGAGCCGGCACAGGATAGTTCTGCAAACGTCGGGCAGCGAGCGCCAGGTAGAAGATGTCTACGAATTTTTGCGAACGAATCAAGCTAAGCTCAATATCCAAAAGATCGAAATGTGCGAACCTGGACTGAGTGAAGTTCTCGATAGCGCCGCAGAATTCAGCGTGAGTCATCCGGAAAATTCCCCCTACACTTCTTGGTCTGTCGTCAGAATCGATGGAAATATGAGGTTTCTTGTTGGTTTTCGAAAGCGGTTGTCTCTGGAACCTAGGTGAAGCTCTCTCCACTCGGCGAGTTCCGCCAATTGGATAGAGTGATCAAGGAGAAATGGGAGTCGTGCAAGTCTGGACTCCAGACGCAGGGAGAGAAACTCATCCCGGAAATCCTCCTCTACCAATGTCAAAGGACCGCAAGTAAGTTTCGCAAACGCCCTTCCCTGTACATATGTAGATGTGTTTTCCTGGGATCTTGGTCAAGCATTCGCCGTCGCCCGCCTTGCTCACGTCACGAGAGTACACATTATATCACGGCGAGAAGAACCAATAGAAGCAGCGTGGAGCTTTGAAGCCGACGTATGGCCCTCGACCTTGAATATTCGATTCACACTCTTTCAGGAATGGGGTTCTACTTCTACACGAGTCGTAGCGTGTTTGCTCTGATGATTATCGTGACAGGTTTCATTATAATGGGTCATACCCTTTCGAGCGCGCTTCATAAACCCCGATATCCCGAGCAGCTGAACTCGTTCCGAAAAATTCCCTACGGAATCTTTTGCGATGCCGGATCGCTAGGAAACGCCCACAATTCGGGACAGATCCTCGCACGATTCGCGGACTACCAGTTCGTACTTGGTCGATCGACTGTTTCTTCTTCCGTCGGCTGTCTTCGGGAGTTTCCTCGCTCCTTCCTCAATGCTCTCACGCTAAGCTAATTCCGACGAGTGTCTGAAGATATGGGTTGTGGGAGCGGATTGAGATGATCGTCAACCGAAAAGTGACGATCTGTGTTGATACGGGTATTCCAGGTTGCCGGCTGTCACTCCTCGCGAATCTGAAATAGGACAGGTAGTTGAGCTTTTACCGGCCTCTTGAATATGATTCCCCTCGGCGCCCAATTGTCTCTGCCCAATTGTCTCATCTTCCATCTCTTCGAAGATATGCCTGCAAGTGACGGAGGATAGGAAATATATTCTTCACGGACCCTTGTTGGCCAGCGGAGATCTGTTCGTCTTCCTCGGCCGACTCTACAATTCGTTCTTCGAGCGGAGATATCAAATTCGGTGGTTCTGGGACATCACCAAGCAGCAGGAGCTTTACAACTTCCTCGTGGGTTCGTTTCTTATCGATTCCCTCGTCCCTAGTCTATGAAGGAGAACTTGCGAAAAAATCACTTTCGAGCGAGATTCACGTTCCGTAGACTCCTAGTTCCATGCTTCCAGGCGGTACGCGAAAATTCTTCAAAGAGCTCCAGTTCGACTTCACCTTATTCGCCTCGATGCTGATTTCGACAGATCTCCTTTTCGTCGGTCGTACATCAAAGTTCTATGCCATCAACCATTTGGAGGAATCCGGGTTGCCGAAAGTCGCTTTCTGGTTTGGTTTGATAGCCTTCGTCATAGTGAAGAGTGAGTATCGCTTTTGCGGAAACATCTGGTGACTTCATTGGGCTCGCACGCTGTATAGCGGGTTTCTCGCGCTGAAGGAATCCACCTGATTTTCACGAAGCGACCATCGGCAACGGGGCTCTCATCCGGGTGCTCCATCGTTTTCTAGTACTGCGTTTTTTAAAAAGATAATCCGACTTAATAGCTCCTGTAAGATACAGGAAAAACTATGCTCATATGAATGCGAGGGTCTCCCGATCGTCCTTTCCTGGGACATTCCCTGACAGGTACCCACTGTTCATCTCTCGGACTCGAGCTAAATCTAGAAGCAATCTGTAGCTTATCTCCAGTTATGATGCGGGAGACATGGTCGACGACTCCCGTACCCGAAGGTCCGCCGTGTGACTAGCCCGAGACGTAATCGGGCTCAGCAGAACTCGGTTCCGGCAGACGAGAGTTTTGGTTGGACGCCATGAAAACCAAACTAGACGGAACGATTCCCGGGATCATACGAAGTCCCGTAGGCGACCTTCGGTCGTATGTACTCCGCCTGATTACCGTCACTGTTTTATTAGATTGTGTTTGCCTCATGCTTTTCGAAGCCGTCACTTCGATCAACAAAGATCATCGTCTCGGACTGAGTATGAGCGCTTTGGAGGTAAGCCTCAAATACTGTCGGATCACCGAAGACGCTCGGAGGAGAATGGGAAATCTTTTGACGTATGCATACAAGTCTCTCACGCAGCTCTCCACGATGGTGCTTGGCGTCGGCCAGACGACCATCATGACCACGCTGCTTTCCATGACGCCCGTGGTCCAGTCGGGCAGAGACTATCCTCTGATTCTGGTGTTGATCTTCTTCTCGAGCACAACAATCTTCTATCTTGAAACTTTCATATTCGTATGGGCTCATGACGAGCTTGCGAGTCACCTCGTTCATTTCTCGATTCTGTTGCCAGCCTACCGTGAGTTATCCATGCCATACGCCCGTTTTTACACCAGAAGCTCCTTCGATACTCTCGCTGATTCTCCGTATTGTGATATTTCTGAGCGTGCCTGCCTCAATCGTAGATCTCGCCTACGTGTTCCGCCGACTCAAATTCCCCCGAGTGCTCTCCAAAATGTGTTCCTCGCCTGAAATATCTGAGATCATTTGCCTCACTCACCCACAATACGCTGACCTTTGCTGCCGGGCGACCTGTCCGGAGGGTGACAATCAATGCGAGAAATGGGACGCAGACGCTTTCAGCGACCACACAGGTCGGTGAATGCGGGCAGGGAAAACCCTGATGTGCCATCGCGAAGTTGGAGGAATCCTCATTGCGATTCCGATTCATTTTCTAGGCATCGGTCGGGCGTACCTCGCATCGAATTTCGTGCTCCTCAACGTGGCATTCTTCGTCTTCCTCACACTTACCCACTTCAAACCGAGTCAGAGAAGTTCGGCCGAGAGACAGGAACAGATGCGTCTCCAGAAACGACGAGGCCAAACTGACGAATTCGCCGAGATGGAAAAGCAAACCGTTGCGGACGTGGACCCGAAAACCTGGCATGGGATCTTGGTGCGAGGTCTGTGCTTCTACGACGAGCCGCGTTTCGTGTTGAAAGACATCAACTTCGGCGTGAGCGCTGGGGAAATGTTCGGCGTTTTCGGGAAACGCGGTGAGTTCTCTCGATGGCCGGCGTAGACTCGGAGCTTTACGGGAGTCTTCCGATTGTTCGTATCGATACCGGATAGAAGTCAAGTGAGTTCTTTTGACCCGTTTTCCGAAGGTTCGGGCCGCACATCGCTCCTCAAAGCTCTCGCTGGAATGATCAAAGTCGAGGAATCGAGCGAAATATACATCGGTAAACATCGTGTGCCGCTACGGTTCAGATACAGGTCGCTCATCGGATACGCTGGCGGAACGCAAGATATCCCCCAAAACCTGACGGTGCGGGCATACCTTGAGATGTTTATGTCAATCAGAGAGGTCACGGGAGCTTGGCAGCAGTATCACTTGAGCCTCACGCTGAAAATTTTCTCGTTAACCGAATATCAAAACAGGTAGGCGTCCGATACCCGATCGAAATCCTGAACTCGAATAATTCCGAGAACGATTCCTTCGCATGACTATGATAGAAGAAGATGAAATCGAGCTGACAACGGAGAAAAGCGATTCGTAGGTGATTCATGGAGAATTGTTTCTCCAGTAACATCGGTTCGTTATCGGAGAGCAAAAAGAAACTCGTTAGCGTCGCTTCGGCGTTCGTGGGAATTCCCACGATCATTCTTCTGGACGATCCTTTGGAAGATGTAGATCGGAAGGATAGGAGCCGCATTGTCAAGGCGGTGAATTCTTTGAAATCGCGGGGTAAGGTCAATGCCAGAGCATGGCTCAAGTTCTCTAAGCATTAGATATGCGAATTTGAACATTTGGCGCGATTCTCACATTTCTGATGCCATGCGTGGTTGGAGGAAATGGATGCCGGACGAAACACACTATGAAGAATATCCATCGTTTATAGATTCGGTCATCGTAATAACCTCGTGTAATTTGGACGACGCGGCCTTATTCGAATTCAATAGGGCAGCTGTGTTGGTATCTGGCGAATTTGTGACGATACGGACACTGTCAGAACTCCTCGCATCTGATACGAGCTACCACGTCATGGTTCGTCTGAATGTGACACAAACTGATAACAGTGAGTGGAGTGAATACGGCGGCGTCTGAGAATGCTCTCATTTCCTTTCCTATTCACCATCGGGCTCATGAGGAAAATATATTCATTACAATTACAATCCGCAGAGCAAGCACAGCTTGAAAGAATCAAGGAACTTATTCTGAGCCTTCTGAAAACCAGATTTCCTGAAGCCAAGCTCATTGTCCAAGCAGGTGACTTGAGTTTCCTCAGGTTGTTGCTCAAACATTGGTTCGGTGCTAATTGAGGGCATTTCGGGAAATTTCTCATCTGCAGGGCTCATGTGCGAGTTCCACGTGAGGGGCGAAGACGTGAGCTGCAGACGTATACACGAAACAAAACGGGTCATTATCGACACGTTGTCGCAGGCTCGAGAGATAAAGATCGGCCATGCCTCCGGAAAACGCAGACTGATGTACCTGATCGACGCCTTGACAGCACGCAGGTGACCGCTTCATCGTTTACTCAGCCGAGTGGTTGAAATTGCACTGTCAATAAATCCATGTATCTCAATGCTGGGTACGTTGAAGCCCGAACTCGAGCAGGAGAGAAGATGATTAGGGCGGGATGGAAGTCTATCCAGACTTTGCTCACCTAGGTACCTCTGGAGAGTTTTCTTGATTGATGTACTCGGTCATAAGGAGTGTCAATTCTGTCGGGGAGAGCCTCGCGCGAGCATGCGCCGTTCGCAATTCATTTCATCTGACATCTTGGGTAGTAAGAAGGTACGTCTCGGGGATACTTCTCCTGCTACCAACAGAAGCCTTCCTTGTTGCATCATCGATCGATCACGACTCCGACGCACAATCTGATTATCGTCAGCGAACTGTGAATCATTTGAAATACGTGATGCTCCGAGGCTGCTTCATCGGCGCCGAATATGGACCGTCTCCCATTCCAAACGTGCTCCCGCCAATCTTATGCTTTTTGCGGTATCCATGTGTCTATGCCCCTTCGTCGCCGAGTCGAAAAGTCCAATTGAGAACTTATGACACGACTCCCCGATTCGCATGTCCCCGAATCGGCCCGCCCACCATCCGAGCTCGCCGCTGGTTCGTCCCGAGCACAGCTCGGTGTCTATCATTCCGGGAAATAGCTTCCGTTGCCGTCGAGGAATTGACAGGAACCGCCGTGGATAAGGATTCTGTTAGCGAACGGACTTGAATGAGAAGAAGGATATGCTTGGAGCCTTCAAGGACACCCCACGCAGGATTCTAGGCTAGATGGTGCTTCAAAACGATGGCGAGGCTTCGGCGCTGCGGAATCCGGGACCCAGGCTCCTCTGACGCATCCTGTTACTGATAATTTTCGGAACGCCCCAATCATAACGGGCGATCATGGATTTCCCCAAAACAATGGACACGAGTCCCGCTAATTATCTGCGAATACCAGGAGCATACAAGAGCGGGTCTGTGGTCGAGCCATACATGGTCAGAGAAACATTCGTAAGTCGACTCGGCTACCGGCCCAATCCGGTGACGTCTTGGCGATTCGCCCAATGTATGTTGCCGTGAGCCGGACGTTGTGAACGAGAGCCGTGTATGTATTTCATGGATTGCGCTCGCGAGATGAGACTCCCCTCAATGTACTGCCGTGGTTTGGCACTTTGTTGAAGATGGGAAAAATTAAAAATCGTTGACCCGCGGTAGGATTCGGCCTGACCGAGCGGTCGCGTGAACTTCAGAGCTCTGCACCCTCGTGTCCGAATCGTGGACGCTTCGCTGCCTCCAAAACAAATCAGATGGACGCCTATCCTGGACAAAACCGCGGCTCGGGCAATTGAAGCACACAATCGGACGGGTCATCGCAAAATCTGTTTCGCGGCGAGTTGTTAGTCAGGTGGGAAGATTCGACTCGTTCTATTGGTGGTACCCGGGCGCGAACAAATATCCCGGGCGATCGCGCTCGGTCATGATTTGCGAATTTAAGGGGCTGCTAGAGCTCCAACAGGGGACTCCAGTCCTAGGATTGGTGTAATTTCAGGTAAGTTCCGCCGCTCGCAGCACTTATCAAGTACTCCCACACGATAATTGGAGAAATTCAGTTATGATGAAGCGTTCGACTGCTTCTATCAGGTCAGATTGCTCCAGGAGAATATCATGGGAGCTCCAATAGCCATCAAGACTTGGGAGCGACGTCGATCATCCCGAAAGCATTTCTCTCCTGACGAATCGCGAGTGAGCAATCGGGGAGGTGTGGAAACTCACGATACGCTTGTCCTGGGCGAGAAATCTCCCGGGTGTAGCTTGTTGGAATGGTCAGAAACGCTGCATATCCCGAGCTGCGACGCAAGGGCGAGCAGTCCGGGGACGATGAACGTCTCACGTTGGCGAAGGAGATTTTGCGAGCTTAACGTGGGAATCGCTCGCTGCAGTGCCGTGAATGCCCTATGGAAGGGAAGTTCAACGGGATACCACTTTGTTCTGGGAAATAACTCTGAGACAGAGTCATTCTGGGTGTGCATGAGAATTTTGAGACTTTGAACTTTCAGTTGTGGCACGAATCGTTCCGGGAGGAATCGATCAGAGCTGAAGTTTTCTCGTCGGGGGGAGCAATGAAATTCCGAGGAATCGCTCAAGGAAGTAGAGGTATTCGGGAGAGAGCTCAAGCCTGAGAGAGAGCGACGTCTCTTGATGCGGAATCAGAGAGCCAAATGAATGCTGCTGCAGCTTCCGAGCTATGAGCTGTATCCTGGAGAAAAAACATGTCTGACGATATCAAACTTTTTCTGAATGTGCTTCCATTCCCTCCTTATTACAGGTTGCGGCAACTAAGTTTTATCTGCAGCAGTAAAAGGAGAAACCTCTTCCGCTGGCACTGAGCGCGAACTCCGTGTTGAGGGTCCCCGCCGCCTCCCGTTTTTTCGCTGCATAAACTTTCCAGACAAATTTTGATAGCGATACTCACGGAGCAGGGAGGGAAAATACGTTCGTTTTACACCACCTCCATTGCTCTGGAGAACTTTCGGAATGGCGTCAACGATCCATGCAGGAAAGGAAAAAAGGAAACGGTCGCCTTATCATCACAAGCTTCAACTGTTGAACACTCTAATAAAAGTCAACGACCAGGCCGGACTTTTACTCAGCGACGATTATGCTCGCATCGTCGGTGTGATATTAAGATATAGAGCTTCTCCGAGAACGGGACCCTATTCTGAACGCCTTCCACGGCGTGAATTCGAAAAAAACAAGGCAGTGCATAAAAAGAAGGAGAACCGGAGTCAGGCAGCAACTCGGATCACACCAACGGGCAGCCGAATGGCTGAGCAAATGCACAGTTGGAACGAAACTCATTCGGCGAGTATGCATTCCTTCTCTCCTTGAACTTAATCCGGTTGCAGGACAGAACAAGGCCTCTGCGGTAAGGTTCCCGCCAAAGATCCTACCTCCGCGCTGGGAAAATTCGCGGGTCTCATGCTCGATCCACCCCAGTTTTTTTTCCCGGATCCCCCGCGAGGAACTGGGGTCGGGGTTCGGGACACAGAACTCGGTCCCGGAGATCTGCAGCTATCACGATTTGGGCCGAGGAGTGGATGCAATGTTTCTACGATGTCTAAAGCAATGATGGAGACTCGGCCGGTGCAGCATCGGGGGCAAAAGAACTCGTCACCGTCTACGAAGTCCTCCCCGACGAAACTCAGCTGTTTGGACGTAATTTTGGCGATGCATTGTCAGCGAGATGAGTGATCGAAATTCGAGATGAATTGTCAAGGCGGGCAAGATGATGGGCATGCATTAGTACCCTTCCCCGATGCCCCACGGCTGAGCTGCAACGAGCGCCCCTCTCTCGGCCCTCTCCCTTGACCCTCGCCCGATTCAGTGTTCAGCATGGCATGCTCTTCTCGTTGGCACACGATTCAGCAGCTGCTGAAAGTCGACGCGGAATCGGTTCCGGAGAGAAATGTGTTTGTTCCCCCTCTGACGATTATTGTGTTGATTGTATTGGATGTAAACTCGCTTCTTTGGATATAATTGTTTGACAACATAAACTGTTTGAAGTGTGCTCTGCGCCAGTCGGACTCCATGGATATGTGCCGTAGGTGTCACCTTTTCTCCTTGGATCGCGCCTATCTTCACCTGGGGGCAATGACTTGAGGGGGGAATTGGGAAAATATTGTGATTGTGCAAGCCATTCTATGAATGCGCGAGTTTCCCGAAAGTTTTCACAGGCATTTCTCGCCGGGAGATTCGTTCACAAAAAAGACGAGAGCTTCCATTGCCTGAGATTCCGCATTTGCTCCCACGAGATATCCTGCGTCGCGTGTTCCTCAGTGACATTTCCATTCGTCGTCTGTCTAGGAGTTTTCTGGGCGCTCATTATTGGCTGCAACGTTGGAAGATTCCGCGCTTCGACGAAGAGGGGCAACACAACCGGAAACTACAACATGGCTTTTCCGCATGAAATCGCTCTTGTACGGCGACTTCCCACAGCCCATCGCTGAATGATGTTACGTGTAACGTTAATTAGGAGAACGTGCCGCGAAGATGCCCCTCAGAACGAAACTAAATATAAAGTGGACTGGCCGTCGTCTTTGTCGGGGCAAGGACGTCTTACTCCCTTGCGCAATTTCACAAACACAGACTGACGCGATGGTCTTGTGCTTCTCTTCTCTGACCTCAAGTGAAGAAGAAGGCATCTTTGAACCGGGTTACTCTGAAGATCCGTTTCGAACGATCCCGGAGCATGCCGGGGATTCTCCCGATTCTCCGGCGCTCGGTCCGTAGGGGAATTTTCGCCCGTCTCCTCGGAAATTCCGTGTTGGGAAATCAAACGTGCTGGAGGATCAGCTGATAGGTTCGGGATTGCAAGCAAATCTGCTATCTACTCGAAAAGTGTCGCCATTTATTCATCGCCGTGTGAACGGGAAATTTATTCGTCGCAGGTATCGACTCCCATACTTCAGTCTACACCAGTGTTCCTTCCCTAGTCAACTTCCGCCAAGTCGGTAGTAGAAGGCGGCTGCCAGACGCAATCGGATTCGCCGACATGCGGTGGTGAAACACTTTTGCTTCCTTGTAAGGAAGGCTGACACGGTGAAGTTTTGCATCGATGACTTTACTGCAGCTCAGCTTCACCTGGTGAATTTGAGAAAGATCAAGCGGACGTGGACTGTTTGTACTGGGGCGCCTTCAATTGGAGAGAATAACTTGTACGGGTCTTGATTTTGACAGATGGAGTACACATTTACCAGAAACGAAAAAGATGCCGTTCTGTCAGCTGTTCTGAGCGGAAATGATTTTTTAATCGGAGCGGTACAGCTATCGATGTCCAACACGAGGCTCCCAGGGCCTTGCGGGTGGGGAGATCGTGGATTTTTCGGAGTTGTCCATCGCGGTGGGAGACTTTTTGGAGAGAAGAGATTTAGCGTATGTGTACATGGGTCATCCTCATACGTGAGAGCCTCAGAGAATTGGAAACCTGGTTCACACATCTTTCTTTCGATTGCGAG